AAAGTGAAACTGAAAATGACTGTTCTGTCAAACTAAGCAACATTTTAAAATGATATAGAATAATGTTTTTATGGTAAGACTATGTCAGGTCAGTGGCACTAAAGAAAATGTCACATATATTAAAGAGTTTGCCTGTGATTTCTCAAAAGTAAAAATAAAAAATGGCATAAGTTAGAAAATGATTTATAAAATGTGTTTTTGCTTTGCTAATAGTAATCATAGTCTGCCTTTCCCGCCTTTTTTTCCTTTTCTATTTCTTCCCTTTCTGTCCCTCCCTTTTTTACCTCTGTATTTCATTACTTATAAACCCTTTCTGGGTTGACTGCAGTTCAGTTTGGCCCGTCTCTCCTCTCTCCAGTTCCCTTTCTTTTGAGCATCCATCTGCAGTAACAGTAAAAACATGCTGCCCGTGAAGGCGCTGACAAGACTGGAGGCTCAGATGGGAGAACACATTCTAATGCATGGTAAAAATGATGCCTCCACAATGGGGTCTGTGACTTATGAGCACAGCCTGGGTGTCCCATGTGTACAAAAGGCTGTTACTTGTGACAGGGAAGAACTATTTGGACAAAATTAAACACGAGTAAAATGCCTTCTTTGTAATATTACTTAAATATTTCCATCAGTTATTATGTTGCATTTTCTTGATTTTTTGATAACTTTATACAATGCTCCTTGATAATGGCATTCTCTTCATGGCTTTCTTTAGTTCACCAAAATTCCTCTGCAGAAATACAACTACAGTTTTCACATGTTTTATTTTCTGCATAATGATATCTGAGCATATCATGTGACTTGTGTGGATTATGAGACCATATTACGGATTAAAACGCAGAATTTGAATTTCATGGACCATGCTAAAATTCAGTAAAATTGCATTTGGATGTAAGGAGGAAAGAGCAACATGTGGCTTGAATTTTCTTAAAACACACAGGGGCTAGTTAAAGGGAGAAAGTGCTTAGGACAGAAAATATCTGGAGTTCTGCCAAACTTGTGCCATTTAAACAATGGTTTAATGCTGAATCCAAAACCCAAGCAAAACCCTTCAATCTCCCCCAAAGGGCAAGAGGTGGCGCTTGAACTTAGAAAGATAATATTAATGGGAATACTTTGAATGAGCAACATGGGAATGTCGAACTTGAAAAGATTGGCCCTCCAGAATTCAAGGATTCACCATCTGCATTTGGATTCCTGCTATGTCCTTAAACCCCTGACAAAAAATATTCCTGGTTTTTGTAATTGTTTTTTAGTTTCCAATTTCAACACTAACTCTGTGCTGTCCCTGCATCCTGTGCAGACCCAGCGATTTTGTCACAAAGGCCACCATCCAAGAGGGGAGCACGCTCCCCAACTGTCCTTCCTTCAGCTGAGGAATGAAGGTGTGGAAGTTCTCTATTATCTTGTGTACTTTAGGACTGGCAGTTTGGGCAGGTGAATGGAGCATCAAGGAAATCTGTGGCTTTGGTGATCCATGACCCTTCTCGTAGGGAGTCCTATTTCCAAGCTCTCCTGTGACTGCTGTACTGGTGCCAAGCTGGCAGACATCACCTTTGAGTCTCAGGAGGAGATGTGTTGAGCCTTCCAACCCCCTGTGTAAAGATGTTTGGAATTCACAGTGCCATTTTCAGTTAGCTGGCACGGATTCCTGGGAATGCAGCTAGTTGTCCTCCCTGGCTGGACCAATGCCAGATTACTTAAGGAGATAATTGACCACAAGCCAGCCTGGCTGACAGACTTCCTAAGTGCCAGATGCCAACTGTGCCAACGGGCCCTTGCAGGAGGGCCTGCTTTCCTTGAGACCATAGCTAAATGTGGCCTCGTTCTCTCTCAGCCTGTAGCTCTGTGTTTTCATTTTTATCTTTTTTTTTTTTAGGGGAATAAAGTAAAATTGATAGGTCCAAGTTATTTTTCTCCCTGTCTGTAAGGACAAGGACATCTACACGAAGTTCCCCTTCCCCACTGCCTTTTTTTCCTACCTTTCTCCGGGGTTCCATTAGTTCAGCTAAGTGGGGACATGGGCTGAAGCAATGTCACCCGGGAGCACAGTGGCTTGTTCTGTCCCCAGTGCCCGGCCTACGTTAGAAAGTGATGCCTTTAATCACACCTGTAACCCAAGAAGATTATAAGATACTTCTTTCATCTCACCTATGCCTCAAATTAATTTCTGTTTTCTAGTATGTAGAGGGAAGCTGCCTATGAGCTCAGATGAGACCAATGCTAAACTGAGAGTTACCAAAGTAACATGCAGTTAAGTACTATCTGTATACCAGCTTCAGTGGATTATATAAACTCAATATTTTGTCAGTGACCTGGCCCCTAAAAACACACTTGAAGTAAGCAGGCCTGCTTTGGCACATGATATTAATAATCTGATCCTGGTGTAAAGCAAGACGCTGGGGGCTGGTGTCTTCCTGTTCTAGAGCCCCAGATGTGTGCCGTGAATAGTTCGCCAGGTCCCAGCCCCGGCAACATCTATTCGTCTGAATGTATTCCCTCACAGTGCAGCCCAATCCCGTTGAGTTGGGAGGTCTTGGACTAGAGGAGGCATCTAACTGGGGACAGCCCTCCCGGTTAACATCTACTTATTCTGAGGAATCCTTCATTCCTGCCATGCACAACTTCGTGGGACTCCAGGGTCCTTTCTGAAACAAGAACTTGATCACAATCACTTCACTTTGCCTTCCCAGGAACCCTTCCTGTTTTCTCTAACCATGAAGTCAACAGTTTTCTCCACCGAGACAGAAAGGGTACCCAACAGGGGCTGGTTGCCTGGAAATGACAGAGGTTGACTACTTGTTTGCTTCCTTTTAGGGGTGGAGGCAAGGTCCCAGAATTGGAACCATTGACACCATAAAATTTACCAGGAACCATTCTGACTGATCCGTAGAGAAGAGGCAATGCTTTCTTAAAGAGCCCGCTAGGAGACAGAGACTCTTTCTTCTACATACCTCTAAACTAGGCTCCCAGCGGGATTTCAGGCACCAACTAATTAGAAAGTGGACAAAGAAGGCAGGCAGACTCCAAAGTCTCCCATAATCCCTGGCCCCCATATCAATGTGTCTTTGGCCCCCTTTCTCTTTCTACCGCCTAATGGAGAGAAAAATCCACGGGAAAGTTAGATAAACTCTCCAACCGACCGAGTACCTACGAGGCAGCTACCTAAGATGGTTCTGACTGTGAGTGCCGGCTAGGGCGCTTCAAGGCGGTTCTTGTCTCCAGCCCAAGAAGCAGTCACCCAGCTGCCAGCAGACCCCACACGCAGACTTCTGTTCCCTAAGCAACAGGTCTCCCAGAACGCGGGGCACTTCCCACCCACCTGTAGTTAGTGTTCGCCACGACTTCAGTGGCAGTGGCATCTTCCGGCTGTGCTGCTCTGGGTCAGCCAGAATCCAGCCCCACACCTGCTCCGTGGGCCCTGAGAGGAGAGCGGGGCCCTGACCTGCCCCTGCCAACCTCGGAAAATATTGCCAATTAGTGGTGGTAGGAAAATTGTCCTGTTGCGGGGTTTTTTGCCAATTTAGACTCTGATGTTGACATGGACTGAATGAAATTCAGGTAGGAAAGTAGAGTGATGGAAATGGGTAGAAATTAGCGAGCCGACAGGTGGACGGAGCAGCGGAACCGGCAGAGAACACTGTCGCCAGAGATGGCTTTCCCGTTGCTGAACTCAGGTCTCTTGAAAGTCTGAAGTTAAAAAATTGGGGCCTGAGGGGAGAACTCTCAACGGTGGCCTCATCTGCTAAGAAGAGAACACCCTCACACCGGCATGGGTATATCCAGAGAGACATTTTAATGAACACCTGATACAACACTGGCAAATAGGGATGAAGCGGGGCGGATACAGGCCGGAGGGGACTTGGAGCAAGGGCCACTCAACACCCCTACATAAGTTTGTTGTCAGTAAAGTGCTGTTCCTGGGTCTCAAAACCCAAGAAAGGCAACAGCGACAGGGTGAGTTTATTCACAAGCGGCAACTGAAGAATTCGCCTGAAAAGACACGCAGCGAGCAAAGGCGATGCCTCTCCTCATTTGTGCGGGAGATAGGAAGCGGACCGCAGTCCTTCTCCCCTTTGCGCATCCCTCTCCCCCGAAGTGACTAGACCTCCTCGAACTAATGAATGAGAGGAGCAAAAATCCGCGATACCAGTGACTTCCTTCAAAGTCTACATGGAAATGGTCGTGGGAATGAACTGTTCTCAGACTGCATAACGGTTTCTCGCCCGATTGATACACAGAGGAGTCGCAGGTGGAAAGTCGCCTTTATTGTCTCTCTCAGGGGGCTCCCCGAACCTCACTTTTTTTTAAAAAAAAAAAAATCTGGAGCTTTGCTCTTTAAGCCGCCGCCATTCTCTTTTGTGCGAACTAATTACTTTAGCTGTCGCTATTATCCTCCTCGACCTCGGGTCACAGCCGAGAAATGTAACCGTTTTCCAAAGTTCCCACTAAACACCCCCTCCCCGTCAAAGCGACTTTATCCGTGTCATCGTTTTCTCGTCGTTTTTCCTGACCAAGGAAATAACGAGGCAAAACGTATCCTTTCCCTTGCCATCTAAGACGGGTTTTTCTTAGCGGGAAGGCGGCTGTGGACGCAGGAGACCTTGTAGACTGAAACTTGTAGTCTGCATTTCCGTCACTCTGTTGTTCTTGTCCGGGATTAGGTCGTCCAGCTTCTGCTCCAGGAAAGGGGTGAACTCCAGTTCCTCTTTGCCTGAAATAGGTTCCCTAACCATTTTTTTCTCCCTCCCCCTCATAACTTATCGACTTTTTTTTTATTACAATAGAAACTCTTACCTGAAAACGGGCATTCATTAATCTGATTTACAAGACAGTATAAACACAGACACAAAGAGGTTACATTTATTCAGATCAGTGGAACGTCCACTTTAGAGTTGTCGATCAGTATTTAAAATGCTTTCTTTTTTGCTCGAAGCCAACTTGTCCGCCTCTTTGGGATGCTCTCTGAGACTGTTAACTCAGTCTCTTGTCAGGTGTCTCCTCCCCTAGGAGTGCACCAACACCGAGTGCAGCGAGCCTCCCTTGCTGTCAGCGGTGCTGGCTGCGGTGGGTTCCAAGAGAGGAGTTGTGGGTGAGGCGGCGGCCGCGCACACCGTGGAAGGAGCGGGCAGCTGTTGTGCCGCCGTGGGGACTGCCAGAGCTGGCGGCAGCGTGGTCACGGGTGGTAGCGCAGGCGTGGGCTTGATGGGCACCGGTACAGCTGGCAGGCTCTGGTTTGTCGAATGACACAGGGCCTTGACTGGCACCCCGAACGCCCCATACTCCGGGCCTACCGGGACCCCAGCTGCGGCGGCGGCGGCGGCGGCAGCGGCCACCGAATCCATCACGCCAACATGAGGCCACACCGAGCCGACAACATTGCCGAGCTGGCCTGGCACCGGGTAGCCCAAGTGGTGCATGACAGATGCCAAAGGCAACCCTCCAGCCTG